AAATAAATTATTTATAAACAAAAACAAAAAACAGCAAAAACAAAAAATTGTAAATTTTTCTTTTTTTACCCTTGCCCATTTATATGAGATTGACGCCTTCTGATTAGTAGAAAAAAGTGCGATTATGATAGTGTCTCATATTGTATTACGTGCATACTTAGTATACAAGTAACTATAATAGCATATAGAGATTCCAGGATTATAGATGTTAGTCATTGATCTGAGAGCGGTGATGATTTTAGATATAATGGTGGTGATGAGTGATGATGTGGGATTGCGTTTAAGTAATGTTAACGTTTGTCCAACAACAACAATATTAAAATATCCCCCACCCCCCCAAAAAAAAGGTGTTTTAAAAACTAATAAAAACAGAGAACGATTAATAAGCAAGCAAAAAACAAACTAACAAAACAAAGACAAAACAGCAACAAACAACAACAACAACAACAACAACAATAAAACAAGACAATAAAGGGGAAGAAACAGTAAAATCGAAACAGTAAGTGCCATAATCAGAGCAAATCGAAACAAAGAAAACAACGAAACTTTCTTTTAAAAAAGAATTCCCAAGGTGCGATATGAACGAATGTGAGTGCACTTTCTAAATTTAACGTTATGAAGTCAACCGTATTTCCCAGAGTTGGGACACCTTTCAATGGGAAGTGGGAATGAAGAGCCCAATTATGTCAACATCGGTGTGTGTATTTCGTGCTCGCCTTTCGCCCTGGTGCTTTCAAAGGAGTGATCTTATCATAAAGATTACGCCCGTCTTCCTTTCCTCCTCGCCATGCAGAACTGATAGGGCTTTTGTCCCGTTTGTTTTATAGCTGACTTTTGAACCCCCCTTTTTTTTTTGGGGGGGGGGGGGGCGAGGCGAAAAGGACTTTGTAAAGGTTGAGGAAAGGGGGGAGGGTTGTGGTATGACGTGTTCAAGACGTAATCACCAAGCAAACGGCCGGTATTTTATGGTTCCTTTTATTGAAATGAAACTTTAGTATTCGGTGAGGAATTAAATTTGTTTAAAATTTGAGGGTTTAAAAGTGAGCTGATTGAAGTGGTTTGTGTGAGTGTGTATGTGTGTGCATGTGTGTGTGTGTGTGTGTGTGTGTGTGTGTGTGTGTGTGTGTGTGTGTGT